AGGGTCGGGACAGCGAGGGCGATGGTGGTACTGAGGCTGGCCGTGGGTAGCGGTAGCCCTGGGCCTACACACCAGGATGTGGACACAAACCGCGGAGTGAGCAGAGGCCCCTACAGTCTCGCCCAGGTGTCCGCTTGCCCTCGAGACCCTCCCACTCCAGAAAGGACCCCCTCTCCCCGAGTCCGGCCCGGACCTCGAACTCCAGGCCCAGCAATGACCCTGGGTCCACTCACCGCATCAGACTCGTGGGGCTCATAGGTGAAGTAATCTGGAAAGGCCTTGGCCAGTGCCATGTGGCGCGCCGACATATAGTACTAGGGGGAAAAGGGGAAGTGGGTTAGGACATACGGGACCCTGCCCATCGGGCAGATAGGGTAGATGGCAAACCCAGGCCACCCAGTTATGCAGATGAACACGCTGGGCACCTTCCAGTTCGCCTCTATGCAAAGGAGCCGTCTTTCTTCTGGCTCCACCCCTTATGCAGATAAGCAGAGCTGTGGATGGACAATATCTGGGCCACGCCCACTAACAAGACTTTCCCAGCTCAGGTGCCTCTTAGGCCGCACCCTATGCGAATGAGAAGAACTCCTCATCCAGGTGATTGCAGGAGAAATCAACTACTTTGTTAAAAGGACAAGGCCCCTTTGGGGCTGAGGACCAGTGAGTCAGGGTCAGAAGCACCTGATTCTTTTTTTTTGGAGAGGTTTTTGTTATAGGGCGCATGCGCTCGCCAGAAAGACAGAGAAAGACAGATAGAAAGCGAGAAATCATCCCCCGGGAGCGGGGGTGGGGTGGGTGGTGGTGGCCACGCCGCCATCCCTTCTCCTCCATTCTCCTCTCGGAATCTTGGGCACGCATGCACACATGCCCGGCGTGAGTTTAAGCCACTAAGGACTCGGGCTGCAGTCTGCTACATGGGAGTTTAGCGACATAGCCATTACGCTAACTGCTGGTCCCAGAAGCAGCTGGTTCTTCATTGGGGGTGGGGGGTGTCATACCCGACCTAGGTATTTCCAGTCCAGAAGGTCAGAGAGGCGCTCCGTGCGGTTCCTCTGGATGATCCGCTGCCGCCGGCTCTGCTGGCAGAAGCTATAGAGGAAGGAGGTGAGCTGCGAGCATGAATCGTCCAGGCTGCGGAACCGCCGGTCCAGTATGTAGATGCCTGCAGTGGCCAGGACTAGGATTCAGAAATGCGCCTGGGGAGATGCCAATTTTCCCTGGGACTCTGTGGCACCAGACCCCTCTCTCCAGGCACCCAAGAGTCTGTCCCCTTTCCACCCACCTCTGTAGACCCAGGTGTCCACGTCCCTCTCCCCAAGATTAATGAGCTCCAGGTCTTAGTGCCCCTTCTCTAACCCTCAGGGGCCTGGGTGCTGACCGTAAGCTGAGGGGTCTGCGATGTGTTCCTCCATGAAGCATCCGAAGCCAGAGAGGTTGGTGGAGATGCTGGGGATGCCCATGACGGTGCACTCAGCTGCAGGAAGGCATGAGAAAGGCCCGCTTAGCTTGCCGCTCTGCAGCCAGCTTAGTGGCAATAAAAGCACCAAAAGTGCGCTCTTTCCTGGTGCATATAGAAAGTGCTACCAAGGGACCAACAGTTGGCGTAATGGCTATGTTGCTGGACTCCCACGTAGTCGATCACGGTTCGAGTCCCAGACCCGGTGGCTTAAACTCACACCGGGAGTGTGTGCATGCGTGCCCAAGATCCTGAGAGGAGAATGGAGGAGAAGGGATTGCGGCATGGCCATCCCACCTGGGGGGGGTGGTTTCTGGCTTTCTGTCTCTCTGTCTGGCGAGCGCATGCGCCCTGTGGCAAAAACCGCTCAAAAAAAATTTTTTTTTAAATAAAGAAAAGCCTAAAGCTGGAAGATAAGGATGTTAACTTAGTGAGCCTCCCGACCATCATTTCACTTTATCCTCACAGCCTGCACGGTCCTTCCTCTGCCAGAGCTATCCTGGTGCTCACAGTGTCAGAGTCTGTTGACATGGGAGGTAAGGAAAAGTCTCCCGTTACACCATCCCTGTGTACAGAGCACCTGCTATGCCTCGCTATTACCTTAACCCCGAGAAACCCCTCGATTCATTTATTAAAATTGTCGAGTAAGTGTTCCTAAAAGCCTCTGTAAGCTGCACACACAGGCTGAAATATAATGGGGCTTGCAGGGAAAAATAGGTTGGCCAACCACAGAAACCCTATGCACAGCATAACCACAGTAGAAACCAAATGGGCAAAATTCTTAATTATCATACAAGCACTGTTAAAAAGACTTGCTAAATTATTAAGCAATAAATAAAAACACTACAGGAAATTTGGAATTTATTTAGCTTTGAAAACAGATGAAAGTTGGGACCTGCAGATGGCATGATGGTTAAGTCGCTGGACTCCCACATAGTTGACCGTAGTTCAAGTCCTGGACCCGAAGGCTTAAAATTCATGCCAAGGGTGTGTGCATGCATGCCCAAAATCCCAAGAGGAGAAGAAGGGACTGTGGTGTGACCGTCCCCCATGGGGGTTGACTTCTTGGTTTCTGTTTCTCCAGCAATCATACCTGCCCTATAGCAAAAATCTCTCTAAACACACACACACATACAAAGTAGGCCAGCAAGTGGCATGGTGGTTAAGCTGCTGGACTCCCACATGACCAATTATGCTTATGTCCCAGACCCAGTGGCTTGAAAATCACACTGTGGGCGCATGTGCGTGTGTATGCCCCCAAAATGCCAAGAGGAGAATGGAGAAAGGATTGCGGCATGGCTGTACCCCCAGGGTGTCTCTCTCCCTGTCGTAAACACATGCCTATGACAAAAACCTAAAAAAAAAAAGGAAAAAAAAAAAGAAAAGAAAGTAGGGCCAGACAGTAGCATGGTGGTGAAACAACACTGTGAGGCAGTCCCGCATGGGAAGGTTCTTGGTTCAAGTTCAGAGACCATCTGTGCTGAGCATGCGAGTGCCGTGACCCAGGGCTGCTGAAGGCTGGGAGTGGGTCGTGCTGTTGGGACCTGTTAGGGGTGCTGTCTCTCTCCATCTCACTCATTAAAAAAAAAAATGAATAAAGTTGGGATCAGTAGTTAGTGTAATGGCTATGTCGCTGGACTCCCATGTAGTTGACTGTGGGTCAAGTCCCGGACCCAGTGGCTTAAACTATGCTGGGCGCATGTGTGTGCGTGCCCAAGATTCCCGAGAGGAGAATGGAGGAGAAGGGACTGCAGCATGGCCATCCCCCCGGGGGGTGATTTCTCGCTTTCTATCTCTCTGTCTCTCTCTGTCTTTCTGGCGAGCACACGTGCCCAATAGCGAAAAACCTCTCTCAAAAAAAAAGAAATGAATAAACTTAAAAAAATAAGCATAAAAAGATATGAAAGTAACTTCACTGAACAGGACGTGATGAAGGCTTAGATCTGGGCAGAGCAAAACGTCCTCAAACGAGAGCGCTGTGAACGGACATTTCCAACTCGGAGCCAGCAGAGGCAGTGGAGCTGGTGGGCCGTGGGGACAGCTGGGCACAGACCCCGCCACATACGGTTGTGTTAGGCAGTTTTGCATCCAGCTGCCGTTATGTGGAGGAGAAATCAAGTGTGAACTTGACACCCACTTGAGACTGACGTGAGTCTAGTGTCACGCCACGGGAGCTACCGCATCACAAAAACGGGAGCTGCAGAACAACAGGCCGGTCCCATCGTGCGTGCCTGTTTTATTTGTTCGAGAGAGAGAATTTTGCAATAGGGCCTGTGTGCTTGCCAGAGAGACAGGAAGAGAAAGAGAGACAGAGAGACAGAAAGTGAGAAATCACCCCCTCCAGGGAACAGCCACCCCACAATCCTTTCTCCTCCACCCTCCTCTCGGGATTGTGGCCACGCACGCACATGTGCTCAACATGAGTTTTAAGCCACCAGGTCCAGGACTTGAACTGCGGTCAGCTGTGGGAGTCCAACGACATAACTCTTACACCATCTGCTGGTCTCCCTGCCATGCCTGTATTGAAAGGAGGAACCTAGGGCTCACAAAAGGCCTTCCGGGTCTGACAAGGACCCCAGGACCACAAGGTCCCTGCAAGGCACACTCACCTGGAGTGTAGCCCCAAGGCTCATAGTAGGAGGGGAAGACCCCGAGGTGGCAGCCACGGACGAACTCCTCATAGTCCACTGGGAGCAGGGGGCTCGTGGAGGACAGGAACTCCGGGTGGAAAATCACCTGGCAGTGAAAAGGGAGAGTACAGCCCAAGCACCTTATCTAGGGACCCCCTGAGGCCCCAGACTGGCCCAGACATGGTGAACAGCTTGCCAAAAATCACCCGGCTTGCCAAAAATATTCCCCTCTCAAGATTTTTTAAACCCCTCACTTTGCCTCAGAAGCCAGGGTTCCTTCTAAACACAGTAATCCCCCTTAGGAAGTGGAGGGTGGCCAGTGTGCACCCAGGGTACAACCCCCACCGTCCTATGACCAATCCCTGCCCGGCCAGCGTCCTCACCTTCACCCTGTCGGCACTGCTGTTGAAGAGTCCGATCCGGCGGATGGTGGTCAGGATGGGGTCTGAGGAGTCGTCCAGCATGTTGTGGGTGCACACGGGAGGGAAGGACTGCCGCTGTGGGGACCAAGGCAGGTGGGCGTTGGAGGAGAGAGGGCTGAGCCATGCTGACCATGGGGATCCGCAGAGGCAGCAGACCCAGGATGGTGCCGGGGCTGTGTTCCTACTACACATTCTCCATCCCCAAGCACCGTGAGCCTAACGAGAACTACAATTCCCAGCTGTCTCTGCGGCAGGGCAGTGCTAACCTGCCCCTGGACTAGGGGGTGCTGCAGGTGCTGGTTCTGTTCTCTTGGCTCTGGTAATAAAAAAACGCTAACTTCCCCTTGTCAATAAGGGCGGACACGCCAATATCACAGCGAGCTTCAGGGGCTCATGGGACTTGTCGTTTTCTTATGAAAATCTACCTCTACCCCCAAAGAGGACCCCAGAGCCACTAAACCAAGACGGTAACAGGAAGTCAGGAAGTCCTGGGGGCTGCTGGGACCAACGGTGAGACCTTAGCAAGTGCTCCACCATCTCTCATTAAAGGTTCAACTCACCTTCAGGCTACTGAGCCCAGGGCTCATGAACTACAACTCCCAGCAGCCCCATGGAAGAAACATTCACAGTGAGGGGGCAAAAGCAGTTCTTATCTTACTTGTGCAACCTGGTTTTCTATGTTCCCATCCCTCTACCAACCCTGACCACAGGTAGCAAAGTCGCTTGTCCCCAGAGAATGAAAGAACTCAACTTCCCAGCAATCTCCGGGGCAAAGAAAGTCCAGGTACCTGAAGGCCCCAGGGGCTGCTGGGAGTTGTAGTTCTCATTTTGTGATCTCCAAACCTCCCTGGGGTTTCCCATCCACCTAATTCTATTGACCTCAGAAATCAAAAAACCTACAATTCGGGAACCAGCAGTTAGCATAATGGCTATGTCGCTGGACTCCCACGTAGTCGACCGCGGTTCACGTCCCGGACCTGGTGGCTTAAAACTCACGCCGGGTGTGTGTGCGTGTGTGCCCAAGATCCCGAGAAGAGAATGGAGGAGAAGGGATTGCGGCGCGACCATCCCCCCTGGGGGGTGATTTCTCGCTTTCTGTCTGTCTCTCTCTCCGTCTGGCGAGCGCACACACCCTATAGCGAAAATCTCTCCAAAAAAAAAATAAATAAAAAGCTACAATTGTCAGGGACATTTGGGGACTGAGACATGGTCAAGCGGGCTAAGAAACAGCTGCTGCAGAGTTTCCAATGTTTCTGCGGAAGACTAGGTGTTCTAGCTGACCTCTGGGCTCCATCCCTAAAGAGGTCCAACACCCAGAGGCCAAGTGGTGGACAGTGATGATGCAACTGGACTCACATGGGATGGGCCCTGGGTTCTTAGCTAGGGACCTCCGCGAACATGTCAGGCACACGCAGGTGCCCACAAACCAGGCCGGTAGAGACTGGGGGTGAATCAAACTGTGATGACTCTGCTGGGGGGTGGCCTGTCTCTCTCTCTCCACGTGTCATGGAAGAAATAAGTAAATTTAAAAAGTTTATAGAGGCAGACGTGGAGCAAGGCCCAAGGAGTAGTTCTTTGGGGTGTCTCTGACTTCCTGAATTTTCCGTTCACCCAACCAGAGGCCCAGAGAAACCACGACTCCCACCAGCTGCTGTGGCAGAAGAAGCCGCATCAACAGCCTGCCCTGAGTGCTCCTGGGGGTTGAAGTTCTCAGGCAACGCACGACCTCCTATGGATCTCAGAACTGCCCCCCACACCCCCGTCCCGAGAAAGCCGCACTCCCAGCAGTTCTATCGGGTCGGAGCTGACGTGGCACCCTCCCGCCACACCCTGCTGACTCCCCATCTCTGCACAAGCGTCTGTCCACACCTGTGTGGCAAAGATGGCTCTCTTCATCATGGTGAAGTCCTCCTTGTCCAGCATCTTGTTCATGTCCGGGAGGCTCCCCCTGCAAGGCGAGCGGGAGCATGCGTCTGAGCCTGGAGCGAGGTTAGGCCCAGAGACCACAGAGCTGAGGGCCGGGCACTCACACCAGTAGGGACTCGTACAGCTTCCTCCCGAACTTCTCCTTCACTGTGTTGGCTGTGTCCCTGGAGGGAGCAGAGAAAGAACATCACACACACCCGCCATTGATCACCTTGCTTCTGGGGCAGCAGGGAAACTGAGGTCTGAGCAGGGGGAACCATTCCCTGGGGCCTCCAGGCTGGAGAGCGGGAGCTGGAAGGCTCAGGTCCCTTGCTCCTGGCATCAGCTGTGTGACCTGGGACAGGTGGACTTCCCTCTCTGACTGCGGTAACTAGTCTGTCAGCTGGGGATAAAAATAGAACCCACCTCGGAAGTCTGCCCTGAGCTCCTGACAAAGGCGCACAGGGCCAGCACACAGCGAGCCTTCCAGAAATGTCAGCTATTATTAGGACTCGGGCTGGTCCTGGAGCTGCTCGGCCCCAGTTTAGAAAAACAGGCAAGGAAGATTCTGGCAGAAATAACTGGACACTCAAGCACAGCGAGCAGAGTAGGCCATAGCGCCTCAGTCACCGTCACTCCTGCCGGCAGTCCCCACGAGCCGCAGCCTGTTCCTACCCCGTCTCCCTTGGACACGCTTCTCCAGACATGTTGGCTTCCTCACATGCTCCCAAACAGGCCTCAGGGCCTCTGCAGTTCCTGTTCCCCACATCCGCACAGCTGGTTCCCTCACCTCCTTTTTCTTTTTTTAACTTTGCTCTAGGGTGTGTGTGCTTATCAGAGAGACAAACAGAGGTAGAGGGAAAGGGGAAGTGAGAAATCACTCCCAGAGGTATGGTCACACCATAATCCCTTCTCCTCCATTCCCCTCTCAAGATTTTGGTCACATATGGGCAGATGCCTGGTGTGTTTTTCAAACTGCTGGGTCCAGGACTTGAATAGTTCAGTTGGCCGTGTGGGATCCAGTGTTGTAACATGCATGCTTCGTTATTGATCTCTGCCCAATGGCACTCTCTCAGTGCAGCCTGTCCTGACAGCCCTATCACATATTCTACTCTTTCTTCTGTTTTTTTGGAGAGGTTTTTTTGCTATAGGGCATGTGTGCTCCTGTGCTCGCCAGAAAGACAGAGAGAGACAAGAGAGACAGAAAGGGAGAAATCACCCCCCAGTGGAGAGTGGAGATGGGCCAACCCAGCTTAATCTCACAGCAGGCGTGTGTGCGTGCGTGCCCAAGATCCTGGGAGGAGAATGGAGGAGAAGGGATTGCAGCGTGGCCATCCCCCCTCGGAGGCGATTCCTCGCTATCTGTCTCTCTCCTGCCTCTCTCTGTCTGTGTGGAGAGCGCATGCGCCCTATAGCAAAAAACTCTCCCCCCCCCAAAAAAAAAAAGAGATTAAGCCAGGTCTGGGACTTGAACTGCGGTGGACTACATGGAAGTCCAGTGACATAGCCATTATGCAAGCTGCTGGTGCCCCTACTGTTTCTTTTCTTTCTTCCTCCCTTCCTTTCTTTCTGCATTCCTCAAGGAATTTTCTAGAATGCAAGCTCCATGATGGCAGGGAATTCATCTTTCTTGTTCACAGCTGTGTTCCCAGGCCCAGAACGGTGAAGGTCAGTGGGGGTCAAAGGGCTAATGAATGGATGGTTTTACACATGAGGAAACTGAGGCTTGGACAGCGCTTTGCCTTACGTCACAAGGCCAGAGGAGGTTGTGGCCTCAGTGGAGCCAGCTTAGTATCAGAGTCTCCGTCCTGATGTCACACTTGTCCTGCCTGTGACCTCTCACTGCCCCTGCACTGGGAGAAGTCCATAGCAAACGACTTCACTAGGGATCGCTGGGGCAGGCTGATCACGTGACACCCCAGGAGCCCAGGACCCAAAGCACACAGCTGGGAGTGGGACGGCCAGGGGTGTCAGCCGAGGGCTGCTGACCAGAGCTGCTTGCGCACGGCCTGGCCCTTGAGGGTCTCCACGTTGAAATTGTTGGTCCGAGCTGGCATGATGAAGAAGGCAACCACCGTCTGCTCGCTGCCGTTCACCTGGGTGGAGGGAATGCGGGAGATCAGACCACGTCTGAGACGGCAGGCCCACCCGCTCTCTTCCTCCCCGAGACCACGGGAACCCTGCCGTGTTCTTTCCTGTGGCGAATTGCAGGATGTAGGCCACCCTGTGGTGTGGTGGTTAGGGGACCAAGATCCCACATGGCCAACTGCACCATTCAAATCCTGGCCCCGGTGGCTGGAAAAACACGGGGCACACGGGCATGCACGCCCCAGATCCTGACAGGATGGACAAAGGGAGAAGGGAATGTGGCATGACCACACCCACTGAGGGGTGCTTTCTCCCTCCTCTCTTGGTCCCTCTGGTGAGCAAGGGCACGCACCCTCTGGCAAAAATTCAAAACAGGGGCCGGCAGGTGGCGCTGGAATCCCACATGCCTGGACCTGGCAGCTCGCTTTCTCACTTTCTCTCTTGCTCTGTCCCTCTCTAGTCAAATTAAATAAAGTTAAATAAAATATTTCTTAAAATGAATAAATAAATGAAATACAGGACCAGCAGATGGCGTAATGGTTACATTGCTGGACTCCCACATAGTCGACTGTGGTTCAAGTACAGGGCCTAGGAGCTTAAGACTCATGCCAGGTGGGAACCAACAGTTAGAGTAATGGCTATGTCACTGGACTCCCAGTAGTCAACCACAGTTCGCGTCCCGGACCCGGTGGCTTAAAACTCACGCAGGGCGTGTGTGCGTGCGTGCCCAAGATCCCAAGAGGAGAATGGAGGAGAAGGGATTGCGGCGTGACCATCCCCCCCTGCGGAGTGATTTCTCGCTTTGTCTCTATGTGTCTGTCTGGCGAGCGCACACGCCCTATAGTGAAAATCTCTCCAAAAAAAAAGACTTATGCCAGGCGTGTGTGTGTGTGTGTGTGTGTGTGTGTGTGTGTGTGCGCCCAAAGCCTCAAAAGGAGAATAGAGAAGGGATTGTGGCACAGTCATTCCCCTGGGGGGTGATTTGTTTATTTCTGTGTCTCTGTCTCTCGAATGAGCACATGCACCGTATAGCAAAAATCTCTAAATAAGGAAATAAATAAAAATTTAAAAATTACTACAGTAGAACCAGCAGTTGGTGTAATGGCTATGTCGCTGGACTCTCATGTACTCGACCATGGATTGAGTCCTGGACCCGGTGGTTTAAACTCACACTGGGCACGTGTGCATATGTGCCCAAGATCCCAAGAGGAGAATGAAAGAAAGGGGATTGTGGCATGGCCATCCTCTCTGGGGGGTGATTTCTTGCTTTCTGTCTCTCTGTCTTTCTCTCTGTCTTTCTGGCAAGTGCAATGAGCCCTATAGCAATATAATAACTCTTAAAGTTCTCACTTTCCCTCTCTCTCTGTCTTTCTCTGTCTCTTTTCAGCGTGCTCACACATCCTTTAGCCAACACTTAAAATTAAAATGCTATAACAAGAGAAGAATTTTAGGACACAGGATCAGCAGGGAGCAGTGGTTAAAGTGCTCCCACATGGTTGACTGCAGTTCAGGTCCTGGACTGGACAGCTTGAAACTCCCACTGGGCGCATGTGCGTGCGTGCCCAAAATCCCGAGAGGAGAATGGAGGAGAAGGGATTGTGGCGTGGCCAGTCCCCCAGGGGGCGAGTTCTCTCTCTCTCTCCAGAGAGTGCATGTGCCCTCTAGCACATATCTATCTCAGAAAAGAAGAAGAATGTAGGACCGGGTCTCGTCCCCTGCCCCAGCCGCACCCACACACGGGTTCCTACCCCCCACCTGGTCCCTGCACAGCCCCGGCCTTACTCTAAGCAGATAGTTGAGCCGGGCCAAGGCCTCCAGGAAGACGTCGGCACCTTTGTTGGAGAACTCATAGCGGCCCGCGATGAAGAAGTACAGGGTCTTGTCCAGGTTGAAGTCCAGATGCCTAAAGAAGCCACGGGGTGAAGTCCAAGGCCCTGGTCTCACAGCTACCAATCCCAGAAGCCACCGGGGCAGAGAACGTCTCAGACAATGCACAGGCATCCGGGGCCTCCTAGGAGTCTAATGCTCGGCCTGTTGTTGCAGGGCTCAAAAACAGGAGGCTGAGCCCCCAGCCCTCCTCCCTCAGACCTGGGAGGTTCCGGCTCTCAACTCCCCCCTCTTAAGATCTAGATATACGACCCACGTACCCATAAAAATGGCCCCGCACAAACTCCTGGATCCGGGCCTTGCTCTGAGCATGGAGGTTCTGGAACTCGTGCATGGCAGAGAACTTCTTCACATTCAGCCCATTGGGCGTCACGATATCTGGGGTTCAAGGGAAGGTCTCCTGATTCATTTCTTTATTTGTTCACTCCGACCAACGTGGTCTATTGAATAAATGAAGGACAGAACCCGAGGCCAGCCCCACAGCCTAGAGGTTAAGGGGGCTGGATCCCATAAGGTCAGCCATAGTTCTAGTCCTTCTAATCAGACCCCAGTGGCTTCAGAAACGTGCCAGGTATGTCTGTGTCTAAAGTACTGACGGGATGGAGAAATGGGGAAGGGACTGCAGCATGGCCACGCCCCACCAGGGGATGCTTTCTCCCTCTCCCTGTCTCTTCATCTCTCCTTGGAGAGCAGACACGCCCTCTGGCATAGTCCAGATGCCTAAAGAAGCCACAGGCAGGGTAAAGCCCAAGGTTGCCAATAATTTTTTAAAAATAGAAATATAGGGAACCAGCAGTTAGCATAATGGCTATGTCGCTGGACTCCCACGTAGTCGACCGCGGTTCGTGTCCCGGACCCGGTGGCTTAAAACTCACGCCGGGCGCGTGTGCGTGCGTGCCCAAGATCCCGAGAGGAGGATGGAGGAGAAGGGATTGCGGCGTGACCATCCCCCCTGGGGGGTGATTTAAGCCCACACGCCCTATAGCGAAAATCTCTTCAAAAAAAAAAAAAAAATAGAAATATAGGGACCAGCAGATGGAGTACTGGTTATGTCACTGGACTCCCACATAATTGATTCCAGCTCGAGTCCCGGACCCGGTGGCTTAAAAACTCATGCCAGGCACATGTGCGTGTGTGCCCAAAATCCGGAGAGGAGACTGGAGGAGAAGGGATTGTGGTGTGGCCATCTCCTGGAGGTGATTTCTCACTTTCTGTCTTTCTGTCTGTGTCTCTGTGGTGAGTGCACGTGCCCTATAGCAAAATCCTCTCTCTCTGAAAAAAGTAAAAGAACACAAAGGAAAGACCCCTTTCTCTTTAGCAAATGTTTTGTTCCAAGGGCTCCTCTGTGAGTTCCCTTGGTGACCTTCTACCCTGCCACCCAGAAGCCAGGTGGTGAGGAAGTCAAAGAGGACAACACCGTTGGTCTTACGGTCATACCAGGGTACCCCAATGCTGCAGGTACCAAAGAAGCCCTCCTGCCCAAGATCACGTACATCCCAGTCACAACTATGAGTCTCCTCAGCACCTGCAAATGGCAACCGGTCAGGGGTCCGGTCCATGCCAGGGCTTCTGGGGACCTTTTGTTTCTACTCTTCTTTACCTTCCCAAGATGCGAACCGTTAAAGTCTTGCTTCTCCTAGGACATATCCACTACTTTCAAGTCCCCTTCATTTCCTCTTTTCATAGAAATGAAATAACTGACAAACTACAAGCCCCACCAACTCCTAGGGCAAAGTTCTGGCAAGATTTGGGGCTGGCAGGCAGAGGCCTTCTGGGCGTAGTAGTTCTCACCTTCCACTCACTGACAGGTGCTGCTGGGCAAACGCCTGCTTCCACCCCTGCTCTTGCCAAAAACTAAGTCCACCGACCCTCTGTCTCCTTTCAGAAGCCCAGGAACGACATTTGCCAATACTAGATGTTACCAATACTGAAATTAATATCAAAGAAATAACATCTCCCAGGAGCCCAAGTCTAGACAACTAGGCAGCCTCTAGACAAGAAGGCCACCGCCCCAGGGCCTTCTGGGAGCTGTAGTTCTCGGGTCTTCACAGTAACCAGGGAGGTATTGGCTTGGGCGCAGGCGGTCACCCCCTCGCTGGCACCCGGGAACCCTAGCCCGGCCCTACCTGGCTTCCTCTTGAGCAGGTGCTGAGCCTCGATGGCGGTGATCTGCGACACTGTGGTGAAGACGTGGGCACAGTGGGCCGCGGCCCGCTCCATGCAGTAGCGGTGATAGATCTGCCTCTCACCCGCTTCCTTGTCCACGTTGAACTGGGCGGGAAGGCAGAGTGGTGAGGTTAGAAAGGCTGGGGGGACCCAGACTCGGGGTCTGGGCGTTGTTTTGGGGGTAACAGGTGGACTCCCAGGTCTGAAGGAGGAGGGGCTGGGGCTGGACTCTCGGGTCCTGGGACAAGGCCTGCCCCCCAGCTCACGTTCTCCAGGTTGTTGTAGAAGTCCACGGCACCGGCACACAGGTAGCGCCCCAGCAGCGTGGCGTGGGTTGTGAAGATGGTCGCCACCGGCAGTCGGCGCGCCCGGCACAGGCAGAGCCCGACGCCCGCCAGCCACTCGTGGAAGTGCGCGACCACGTGTGGCTTCTCCTCGCTCTGGGCCAGGAACTGCGGGGCGACAGGGACGGGCCGCTGTGTCGCGTGTGTCATGGAGGGAAGCGGCAATCCCCAACTCAGGCAAGGACGCGGGGGAGAGGTAACGTGGTCGCTGGGGCGACCCCCTCTCCCCCAAGACGGGGACCGGCTGCACGGGCTGACCTCATCTGCAGGCCGAGGGAGCTGGGATCCCCCCACCAATCTAAGAAGTCCTACCGGGGTTAAACTGGAAAGACTGAACATCTGGGTCCAAATCCTGGACACAATTTCTGGCAATCCCACATCTATCAGGGGTAGGCTTTCGGTGCCCAAACAATACTGGCAAAAAAAGAACTACAACTCCTAGAATGTTCTAGGAGCAGGGAGCTCCCAAACTGTCCCAGGGCGTGGGAAACTAAGCTTCCTGAATTTTTGAAAATCTAGAAAGCAGTGGGAACCAGAATCTCCATCGCAGATAGGCTGGATATGCAAATTAAGCCCCACCCCATATCGGACTAGAGAACTACAAGTCCCAGAATCCCCCAGAGCAAGCTCTCCCTTAGAGCAGAATCCCCATATTTGGAAGATTGGGGTAAATGAGGCTGGGGTTGAGGGTTTGGGTCTGTGAAGAAAGAAGGAGCTGGATCCTTGGACACCCCAAAGGTCAGAGCTAATCCTCGAATTAAAGGGCCTGCGACTCGCAGTGGTCTGGGAGAGCCCCATCTGCCCAGGGGCTGAGGGTCATTGGGTTCATGTGTGAGTGGAAAGAAAGACGGGACCCTTGTTGGGGCCTACCTCACCCAGGAACCAGGTGGTGAGGAAGCCAAAGAGGACGGCGTCGTTGGCCTCACGGTCGTACCAGGGCACCCCGATATTGCAGGTATCCCAGAGCTCTCCCTTCCAGCGCTCCAGGGCCCAGGCCGAGGCTCCCACATCCAGCAGCACCACCAGGGGGCCCCCCTCGATCAGCCACCGTCCGAAATACACCTGGAGGGGCCCACGGGGAGGTTCAGGCTGGGCGCTCTACTAGCACCCCCTGCGGATTTCAGCTCTCTGTTCCAGTACCTGCTAACTCCACACCCCTGCCTTCTTTCTCTCCTGGCTGTAAGTTACTCCCACCACACGCTTTCTCCATCCCTGTTGCAACACTCACCCTGTCCCTTGCTCGTTCTGTAACTGCTGCCCTTCTCCCACCCCCTGCCTCCTTTCTGTCCGTCTGACCCGGTATTTCACACGTCCTGTCTCCAGGCCCACCACCTGTTTCAACACCTGCTAATCGTTTTCCCACTTGCTTCTTGCTTCTGCACTGGCCCGCATTTCTCTTATCGACCACTGTGTTGCTTTCTCGCACCGCCATTTGTTTAAAAGAATTATTTAAGGGGCCAGCAGGTGGCGTGGTGGTTAAGGCACTGGACTCCCACATGGCTGACTGAGGTTGGAGTCCCAGACCTGGCAGCTTGCTTTCTCACTTTCTCTCTCTCCCTTTGTCTTTCTCTGGTCGACTTAAAACATAAATAGATAAATAAATAATGACAATGAATAAAATTAAATAATTATTTTAAAGAAGAATTATTTAACTTGGGGCCGGCAGATGGTGTGGTGGTTAAAGGCACTGGACTCTCACATGGCAGACTGCAGTTCAAGACCTGGACCTGGCGGCTTGCTTTTACCACCCACCCCAGGTGTCTCTCTGATCAAACAAGAAAATAATAATACAGTTAAATAAAAAATAAGTCTTGGCCCAGTAGGTGGCATGGTGGTTAAGGTGCTGGAATTCCCACATGGCTGGCCATGGTTTGAGTCCTGGACCAGGCAGCTTGCTTTCTCATTCTCCCTCTCTGTCTTTCTCTGGCAAAACTCACGTGAAAAATAACAATAAATAAATAATTCTTATTTTTTTTAAATAAGTCTTTAAAAATAAGAATTATTTAGCTTTATTTATTTATTTTAATTTGACCAGAGAAGGACAGAGAGAGAGAGAAAAAGTGAGAAAGCAAGCCACCAGGGTCAGGACTCAAACCGCAGTTAGCCATGTGGAAGTCCAGCGCCCTTAACCGCTACACCACTATGCCAAATTGCCATTCCTTTCCTCCCACTGTATGCTTCTTTTTCTGTTCTTTTTTTAAATTTTTTTTGAGAGGTTTTCGCTATAGGGCGCGTGCACTCGCCAGAGACATAGAGACAGAAAGCGAGAAATCACGCCCCAGGGGGGATGGTCACGCCGCAATCCCTTCTCCTCCATTCTCCTCTCGGGATCTTGGGCACGCACGCACACGCGCCTGGCATGAGTTTTAAGCCACCAGGTCTGGGATGCGAACCATGGTCGACTACGTGGGAGTCCAGCGACATAGCCATTATGCTAACTGCTGGTTCCCTCTTTTTCTGTTCTTGTTGACACATTTTTCTCCCTGTGGCCTTGCTCCTGTCCCTTTCACCATATATTTGTCACCTGCAACCTCCTTCCTCTGCCATTAGACCCATTTTGCAGGCCCTTTTCTCTCTCTCTTTTTTAATTTATCAGAGGACTGGAGAGAGAGAGGGAAAGTGGGGGAAGGGGCATGGTCACGCTGCAGTCCCTTCTCCGTCGCTCCTTCCTTTCAGGGTTCTGGGCACGCACACAGGTCTAGTGTGTTTCTCAAGTTGCTGGGCCCAGGATTCGAACCATGTGATCGACCATGTGGGATCCAGCTGCCTTAATCACCATCCCACAGGCTGGCCCTTGCAGCCCCTTGTCTAATGTAGCTTGTCCTCCTTCCGTGCCGCAGGACTGCGATGTCCCCCCGTGGCCATGTTTCTAAGGCTTGCTGGCTCATTTTTGCCCCTGTCACGTCTCTCCAGCTGGCTGCCTTTCCCTGAGCGCACGGCCGTGTCCTGGGCCAGCTGCCACAGCCCCACTCACCGGCCGGCAGCCATCCTTCGCCACAGCCCGGCTTTGCCCTGCCCTGAGCCTGCGGCCGGCGCCCCGCCCCCTCCCAGCTGTTGTCTGCCCTTTTGCTGGGGGGGCTATTCTTAGGCCCCCAGCACGTGGAGAGCAGCTGCCCTGGAGGAGGGCCTGGGCTGCCCTGGGGTCCCTTAGGGACACGGTGTGGCGGAACTGGATCCTGGACCCCACCCCAAAGCCAAGGCTGTGAATGACCAGAGAAACTGTGTTTCACTCTCCCTCCCAGAATCCAGCTTTTTTGCACTTGAAGCACAACAGGCACCTCCGTGCTGATCCTCTGTCCTCATCCTGGGGCCTTAGGATCCCCCCGACCCCGACTTCTCTCTCTCTCTTTGCTGGGGGTGGGGGCACATGCACTCACCAGAGGGATGAGGTGGATTAAACACCCCCCAGGGAGGCGTGGGCATGCCACAATCCCTTCTCCACTCTCCGCCCTGTCCAGAGTTCCAACACACACATGCCCGGAGTGTTTTCAAGCTGCTGGAGCCAGGATTTGAACTGTGTGGGTGGCCATGTGGGATCTGGCTCCCTCAAGCAGAAGGCCATGGGGCCGGCCCTCCCCTTCTCTCTTCAGTCCCCAGATCTGCCCCTCTCAGTCTCCAGCCCCAGGTCTGTCTGTCTCCTCTCCTCTCCATCCATATTCTACCTCGCTCTCTCCTCCTGGGTCTGACTCTCTTCTGCGCCTGGGGTCTATCTCCCGATCACTCTGGCCCCGGGGTCTCTCTCCACCCATTCCTGTCCACCTCTTCCCAATTTGTCTGCGACTAGTCTGATGACGACAAAGATAATAGGTGACATGGTGCCGACTTCTCCAGGAACAGTGCTAAACACCATGACAATGACCTCTCCCCCGTCCAGCACCCTGCATGGTAGATGCTGCCAGCATGTCCCTTAGCCAAGGTCACACGGGCAGCGAGAGGACAGGAACTCTGGCCTCCAGAATCCTGCCTCCAGGATCCTTGGGGTCATGTCTGGACTGACTTCCCTGGACTCCATCTGGACGGCTGTCTTTCTGTCTAGCTCTTTTTCTCTCTCTGGACCTGAGGATCTTGGTCTCTTAGCTCCATCTCTTCTGTCCTGTACCTGCCATCTGTCTGTCTATGCACCAACCCACCCCCTCCACGGCCCTGCATCGGCCCATGCTTCTCATCGCTCTTCCCTGTGCTGTGTCTGCCAAGGAAGGCACAGTCTGCATCTGTCCACACCTTCTCCTCCCGGGGCTGCCCCCTGCCCCCGCTGCTTCCCCACCCGCAGCTCCCCGCCCCCTGCCCCCTCGTGCAGCCCGCCATGCCCACCTTGCAGCCCTTGCTGTTCATGGAGTCCAGCGTCCTCTTCAGGGCCGGGGTGGGGGGCTCGAGCAGTTCCACCTGGGTCCTCACGCCCTGCTCCGTGTATGGTCCCACCAGGTAGTAGTTGTCACCCCACTCGTCCCCAGTCACCTTCGCCTTTGTCTGTAGCACCGTGTAGATGCCGCCCACTGTGGACCCAAAAGCATGAGGTCCGGGGCCACAGGTTGGGGACAGGGGGTAGGGTGAAGAATGAGGGGGACACTGAGGCCCTAGTCTCCTGGCTCTGGGAGGAAAAGGGATTGGGAGCCTGCATTTGGAGGGGGAAGCTGCAGGCTTGGGCCTTGGGTCAAGGGAGGAAGGAGGTGGCTGGAGGGCAGTCCCCCAGGTCTAAGGGACTGGGTCAGGAGCCTGAGGGAGAAAGGGGGCTCAGGCTGACCCCTGGGTTGGAGGTAGAAAGGGCTGGGGGTCAGGGCTCCTGGGTCTGAGGGAATTAGGGGCGAGGACCCCGAGGACAGCAGCAGCCGAGGATCGTGGGAACCCAGGTTTCCCAGTCCCTAGCTTACAAGGTCTGGGCTTAAGTTCTCAGTTGGGCTCTGGGACACAGTAGGTGGGGTTCCCTCCTCAGCTCCTCCTCACGGCCCTCTGCCCACCCTCTTCCCGGCTTTTCATACTTGCTCAAGAGAATCGTCGTCCCCCCTCCCCCCAGAGGCCCTGCCGACCTGTCTCCCAGTCTCCTCTACCCGACTAGGGAAACGGACATGCAGGGCCCTGCCTCTCAGGACTCCTCCCCAGACCCAGGAGTCCAGGCTCCCCGCCTCACACCCTGGAGCCCTGCCCTGGCCACACACTGCCCCACTTTGGAGGATTCCTTCCCATGCTATGAGACCTAATCCCTTTTTCTCTGACTCCCAGCAAAGCAAAACCCAGCCCCAGCTCTTCTGAGAAGCAAGACTGCCCAGCTCCTGGGGATTCCAGCCCCAGCCTTCTTCAAGGCCAGAGCCTCAGGCCCTGTGAAGACCAGGGCACAAAAGCGCAGCTCCCAGCCACTCCCATCCCAGGGCCCAGCCCCTGACCAACTTAGGACTTCCCAGCCTTCCTGGTTCACGTATGCATGTGTCCCAGGCCACAGACTCCTCTGCTCCTAGGAACCGACCATAGCTCAGGCCCCCAACTCTCTCCCACCCTGGAATCTGAAAACTAGGGTCTCTATCCCCTCCCATCCTTATCTTCAAGTGGCCAGGTCCCCAGGTCTCCCCTCCACCATGCATGCATCCCATCCCCCAGTCAGCTTTTCCCCCAAGACCACCTCAGACCAAAGGTCTGAAAGCCCAACAGCTTCCTGGGTGTGTACTCATAAGTCCCCTACCCCCAGCCCCTGCCCAGTTCAGGACTCAGATCTCTGGTCTCCCAGAAACTTCACTACTTAGGAAATCTCTAGGACCCGGGACCTCGGCTTCTCTTCTCCTTTCCTCTTAAATCAGGTGACTCATCGGCGCCCCCCAAGCCCCAGGAGACACACCCCAGCCCCTCCCCAAGGACACAGAAGTCACAGGCTGCTAGCCCAGGACCCAGAATCTCCCATGTAGCCCCGTCTCCTTGTGGCTCAGAGTTCCGGGCCCCATCCCCGAATGCCCTTCTCAAGGACCCGAGGCCTGGTGCTCACCCTTGTTGGCTACCTCCCAGGCCACCTCGAAGAGCACAGTATTCTCCAGGTCGAACTCATCCTCCCACTCCTCCAGTCCTGGCAGCGAGGACATAGACAAAGTGCGGTTTAGAGGCATGACCGACGCGGAAAGGGGGCTCCGGAGGACTCAGGTGGGGGACCCCGGAGGTGTCTGGAGAATGCACCAAGTAGGGTGCAGGGCCGGGTGGCTGGTGCTTGACGGGAAGCGGGCAACGGCTTCCTATTGCACGACCGCACCCCGGCCCCGGAGCGCTCGGACCTAGGCAGAAGGCGGCCGCAGCGTCACTGAGCCCTGTAGCGCCCTGCAGTGAAACCTTGCGGCCGCCAGGAGGCAGTGCCCGCCCCCCTGCCAGCACCATTGGTCGGCACCCGGGGGCGGGGCTGCTGCGTCTTCTCATTGGTGGAGACGCTCAGGCTCGCACGGTCCAGCTACCGCCTTGCCAGTTGACGCTTGCCCTAGGGGGCGGGGTTTGAGCTGCGCCGCGCAGGAGCGATTGGTCTTCAACTCTGTCAATCCGAAATTGGGGGCCCCAAAGTGGGGAGGAGGAGAGGGTGGGATGAAGAGGGAAGGGAGCGTGGAGAACGTGTGGTTTCTCAAAGAAGTGTTAAGAATTTTGCAATCGGCCTCAGCAAAGGGGGTTGGGTAAAAGGAGGAGGAGCCATAAGGCGCTGGGAACGGACCCAGGAGATCCGGACCCTGGTCTTTCGGGTTTGCCTCGCCGAGTGGGCGGAGCCTATGGTTATGCCACGCCCCCACAAGCAGAGTTTACATATTTATGAGGAGTCATAAAGGTCTTTGGAGGATCTGGTAGGCTAGAGAAGCCAGCACACCTCGTTCTTACCTCGTTTCCGTTTCCGCTAGGGCATTGGCGGTTGGTGAGCATCATGGCAACCGTGGTAAGTGCCGGCGTGCGGAGGACGGAGGTACGAACTCCCCACTCTTGAGTGAGGGAGGAGGGTGCTGGAAGCCCAGACTCCGGGTCTGAAGGAGGACGGGTCTGAATGTCCGGACGCCCGAGTCTGAGGGAGTCGGAGGCTGGTAGCTCCGACTCCTGATTCTGAGGCGGGAGGAGAGCTGGGGGTTCGGACTCGCGGGTCTGAGGGAGGAGCGCGCTGGAGCCTGGACTCCTGGGTCCGAGGAGAGACGGGAGGCGTGTTTCCCGAGCTCCTGGCTCTGAGGGGTTGGAACACGAAGGACGCGGGACCCCGAAATCTCAGGTTCGGCACCATCATGTTGCGGGAACTCCAACTCCCAGAATGCTCCGGGCGCAGGCGGCGGCCCGCGCCGCGGTCCTTTCCCGGGGCGGGCCCGGGCTCCCGGGGCCTGAGCGCCTGGTCATTGGCCGTGCGACTGGCACCCGGCTTCCAAGGGAGGCGCGCAGACGGGCCTGTCCTGGGTGCTTGAGGGCGTGGAGTCGCTTGGGGGGCCTTCAGCGGAGACGGTGTGGAGAACCAAGGGGGCGCGGTCTTTTCACGGGACTGCTGTGGCCGTTTTCCTATTTCCAGCAGCTCATACGGGGCGTGGCTCCCTGTCAGGGTTCAGTAACTTCCCCCGTGAGTGAATGACAGTGAAGGGGAGAGCAGGTGTATAGGCCTGGCATCTGCTCAAAAAACATCTGCGTGACGTGACGTGCTGTGCCTTGAACTTGGGGGTCTGGCTGGGCTTCCAGGACTTTAGTTCTCATTCAGGATGGGGAAGGGTGGGGCACAGTTGGGTCTGTCCTTACCTTGGCAAGGAGGAGGAGGTGAGTAGGGAAGTAGCAACCAGAAGGGGAAAGGACAGTGAGAGTGCCCTCAGTGCCTCCCCTCCGAGACTCAGTTCCCAGGACTATGGAAGAAGTGGTGGAAGCAGGGAACATAGTGGGAGCTGAGTTTTAAAGTGACCTGTTTCCACTGGGGCCAGCAGGCAGCAGGGTGAGGAGTGGCTTATTGTGAAAGGGAAAGAAAGACCTTGTAGGAGGCAGTCCCAGGAAGGGGGTCTGATAATGTTGGGAGAGGTAAATTTGGGATTTCTGGATCTATGTCTTTTTTATTTTTGCCTCGCTTAGAGTTACCAGTCTTTTTTTTTTTTTTTTTTTTTTTTTAAGGTTTTTGCCAAAGGTTCTCGGCGTTTTCTGGAGAGGGGGTAAGGGGGAGTGAGAAATCAACCCTCTGGGGGATGGCCACACCACAGTCCCTTCTCCTTCATTCTCTCCTGGGATTTTGGGCACACGCACGCACACGTGTCTGGCATGAGTTTCAAGGTGCCAGGTCTGGGATTCAAACTACAGTCGGCTATGTGGCAGCCAAGAAGCCTGAACTCTTGGCCCCCCAAGAGAGGACGCTTGACCTGGGTTAGTTACCTGGCTTGCTTCCCAGTCGTTTTTTAAAAAAAAACTTTATTTTGTCCATGAGCAAGACAGAGGGACGGGCATCCCACCATGGTTTTCCCACTGCAGTTTATCCTCAGCCTCAGCCAACCCCGATCTGGACACACACACGCCTGGTGTGTCTGGGGAGGTCACCAGGCTGGAGCCCAGAACCCTCCCCTATGGGCCAGTCTCACAGATGTGCGCTGCCATCGTGTCACTGCCCTGCCCACCCCTGTTTTCTTTCTTTCATTCTTTCTTTTTTTATTTTTTTAAGAGATTTTTACTATAGGGCTCATGCACTCGCCAGAGAGACAGACAGTTAGACAGAGAAATCACTCCCCAGAGGGGTGGCCATGCGACAATCTCGTCTCCATTCTCCTCTCGGGATTTGGGCACCCATGCACATATGCTCATGACTTTCAAGACATTGAGTCTGGGATTCAAACCATGGTTGGTGACATGGGAGTCCAGTGCCTTAACCACTATGCCACCTGCCAGTCCCCACTCCCATTTTCTGATACTAATTTGGGGATAATATCCCAAGCTCCTGGGTTCCAACCTCCTACTTCCACAGCAAGGGAGAAGGTTATGACCATGTAGCTGCCAACAAGCCTAAACTCTTTGGCTCCTGAGAAGATGCCTGGCCAAGGTTGGTCACCAGTATGTCTTCTGGTTCTGGTGGGAAAAAGAGAAGAGAGACCTGTAGGGAGAAAGGCAAGTCAGGGCAGGTAGCTGAGGAGCCAGGCAGCGTGCTGGCTTCTTGGACCTCCCTTCACTTATTAGAAATTATGAAATAGGGGAACCAGCAGTTAGTGTACTGGCTACGTCACTGGACTCCCGTGTAATGGACCGTAGTTCAAGTCCTGGACCCAGTGGCTTAAACTCACGCCGGACGCGTGTGCGTGCGTGCGTGCCCAAGATCCCGAGAAGAGAATGGAGGAGAAGGAACTGTGGCTTGGTCATCCTCC